AACAAAAAAGTACAAATCGTGCAAACGTCGTTTTTTTACGTTTCAGGGGATCCTGATCATTTTTGAAAAACATTTTAGGTGTGGAGAAGGATATATCTCAATTTTTGATGTTAGCTTATTTGTACGCTCCGAACTCCGGTAATTCTACGCACCTATTAGCCATATTTCACACATCATAGGTTTCCCCGTACATTTGTCCTTAAAACTGAAGAAATGTTTTTAATGCGCGTCTCCTTCTGCTATCCAGACTAGTACTGCGGCGATGCATCGGTGGGCGCTGTCACGACTGATGATATTTGAAGGGCAACGTTGCCAGATGGACAGTAACTACCGGTAGGGCAGGGAATGGATGTCTATTGTATGCGCCTGTTTGACTGACTTGATCCGATTATTTCTTCCAGTGTATATGTTTGTTTTTTCCTCAGAGGGTTTAACTTTTTAGTTTTGTAGCACCGTCTAGAAAATGTGGTAGATATTGTCAGTGTGACAACTCTTTTGTCATCGGCGAGCGATTGGAGTTTACATCTTGTGGATTTTCGTTCTAAAATATAGTAATAAGTGGACAATGTCGACAGATTGTACAAAAAACTGAAGTATTACCAGAAACTGACTACTATTATTACCCACTTCAAGTGTACACCCATAACGTGGTTAGTCGATTTGTTCATTTATTTCGTATAGCATTGATGACGTAACTGTCAGAAGCGGTGAAAAGGACTATACTCGTATTCAACCATCAGATGCACTCGCACCGAATCAGTGAAATATTTAAAATGTTGCATATATGCATCACATCAGTAGTGGGTTTCCATTTAACCCAAAAGCTAACAGCGAGTAGAAAACAAGATCTATTATAACAACAGTAGGTTCCAGTGACACTTCTGAACGTTTCTGAAGTTCTGTGGCTATGTACAATGTATTTCTGAATTATTCAGACCAGTTTTGGAACATACTAATACCTATGTCAACATTTGATCTAAGAGGATCCCTCCTTTAGGGTATCTTAGAAATTTCGAGGTCGCTGAACACCAATGGTCAGATGTAGAAAAAATGCCCGACAAATTTTGGAAAAAGGTTTTTTTGGGTTGCTGAATGCTACTGGTGTTTCTTTTGTCTACTTTGAGTTTAGAGTAACCTTAATTGGACCTTGAAGAAAACTCCAGATGACCTTTCTCGTCAAAGCAAACGCCAGATTTGGATTCAGAAACCCAGAATATATGGTTTTCACATAGAATTAAACACCTGTACAGCCTTTTGTCTTAAAATAATCTAAATTTGGCCTGTATGGCCACACTAGGCAAACGGCGCCAGATTTATATTTAGTGACCCAAAAAACTACAATATTTTTTTTAAGCAATTTTTCTAAACGTTTAACCCCAAAAACTCTAAGATGCCCTTATAGGATCCAGTAATATTGAGATCAAATGGTGATCAGTATAGTAAGTACCATCAGACCTAACGATTCTTCAACATTGCACCAACGTTTTTCTTCTAATAATGCATGGTCTTATTTTCTTTGCAAGGAAAAGCAATAAAAGCTCTAGTGACGCAAATTGGGGTTGCACATAAAATTCAGTTTCATTGGCTAAGAACTAGAGGCACAGCCGGAGGTATTATGTCCCATTTATTTTTCACTTCCTCTTAGGAGAAAAGCAGACTCTAAGAAGACACGTAAACAAGCCCTGAAAAAGGTTATTTATTCATCTTGAGACGTTTCTCGCTCACTTCAGTTATTTAGGGAAGCATGCAAAGATGCTGTATTTATAGGAATGTTAAGTAATATATAATTGGAGAAAACATATTGACTGAGTCTTTATTTATCCGTCTTAAAAAGTAAACAACAATTCTTATGGTTGGTTATGGTTATTAAGTGTATTGATAACAAAAACAATAGATGCAGGTTATCCTCTTCGCCCAGACCCTTGGGTAAAATAAATACATATCACAAATACCCTGGAACTTAATGTTATAGAAAAAATATTATATAGACAGAGTAACCATGAACTCTCTCAATTTAACATTTTCCATGAAGCCACTGATAGGATCGGTTTGTTTATGTATTAATAGTTTTGCACAATTTAATTGAAGTTTGCTCTGCCATTTCCTACTAGGATCCTTAACCTTCCAGTACTCGCGCGGGGAAAATCACGTAGGTACTCGCGTGGGGTACTGAGGTACCCAACCTGTTTTTGTGCTTTTTAATTTAAATAAAACAATAGTTGGAGCTTTTCTTTGAAAAATATATTCACACAATTTTTCTAAATGCTTTTATAACAGAACAAAAAATATTCACTTACGAAAGAAATGCTAACATAATATTTATATAAAATCCTAACTAACAAATCAGGTCTCTGAAGGTATAATATGGCAAGAGCATCTATTCGCTGTCACAATTGGTTTCTATTTCTCTGCAATTACGGCATACGAAATTTTGATGAATTTTACATATCCACTCAACACATTTTACGCATGTAATTGGCGTTTTTCTATCAGCTGATCTGAGACATAAATAGCACCTACCCTTTCCAAGTTTTTGTTTCTTTGTAGTAGCCTTGTCTGTTGCTAAAGTAGTTTCCTCAATGTTCAGTAAAGTGACGGCCCTTTTCTTTATATTTCTTGGGTTATTATCCATATATATTCTTTTCATTATTTGTGGCCGTACTAACTCTGCAGCTAACTCTTGCAGGAAATTTTCTCTGTTTGGTTTTTCAAAATTATTGTTCATAGCAAATAGACAAAGTGCGTTGATACCAGCAATATCTAGAATGTCAAAGAAAACTGTCAGAGGCCAACGTCGGCTATTTCTAGCCACGTCATACTGGGCACAAAGTTTGTCTACGACATCCACTTCAGATTTAGTTCTGTTGTATTCCAGGATTATTTCAGGTTTCAAGCATTCCCTATCAATCTCGTCATCGTGGTGCATTGATGAAATCAGCAATACATTTTTGCCTTTTTTTGGAACGTAAGACAGCAAGGTAAGATCTGATTGAAAGGCAAACATACTACTCTGTTCTGGTCTAGAAGCAGTCTGTGTGAATTCTAATGGAATCTCTCTTTTATTTTTCCTGAGCGTACCAACCATAGTCAATTTATCTTTCAATAAGTCCCTAGGAAGAGGTACACTGAAGAACCAATTATCCATTGTAATGTTACGACCTGTACCTTTTAGAGGCTCAACTAACCTTTTTACGACATCTCCAGGACTGTTACTCAAACCATACGGCCCGTTCGGTTGATTACCTCCATATATTTCTAACCTGTATGTATACATGGCTTTGACCAATGCAAATATTTTGATTCCATATTTGCTGGGCTTATTAGGTATATATTTCCTGAAGGCGCATCTTCCTCGAAAGGCAACCAGTTGTTCATCGATGGTTAGAAAAGCTCTTGGTATCACTGAAGACTGGCAATTGTTCACAAATCGCTGAAAAATGTCCCTAATCGCTGCCAGTTTGTCATACATACGTCGATCTTCCCTAGTATTTACATCATCAAATCTGATACTTCTACACAGGAATCTGAAGCGATTATAACTCATTGTTATATATATGTTTTCAATTGCATTGCCATTTGTGTTCCATAATGTCCGAATATTCTGCCGCCCAGATTTCAAAGATCCTGCCAAATAAAGTATTCCTATAAAAGATCTTATCTCACATACGTCAATCAATCTAGCATCACGTTCTCTATCGAAATTTGCTTGAATCTTTGCAATGTATAGATTGATACATTTCACAACGATTTCAATCATTGAATCATCAATAAATTGGCTAAGACAGTCCATCGAGGATTTGGCGTTTTTTGCGTTGCCTACTGGCCCTGGAACTTTCAATATAATATTATGAGCCTTTGTTCTTGACGTTGGTGGTGTGTTTTTACTCCATTTAGTTTCTTTATCCTTTCCAAAACAATATGAACCACCGTTTTTTACAGAATCTTCTTCAGTTATTTTCGAAATATCAGCTCCCTCTTCAGACTCTTGCTCTGTATCTGAACATTCACCTTGTACTTCCAAGTTATCTGTTTCTTGCTCCGATGGATCATCTTCACCATAAACTTCTTCGTCGTCACTGTCAAGCATTTCATTATACCATTTCAGCCATTGCTGTGGGTCTCTACTTGATAAATTTGCCATATTTTTACCTGCAATAACACCAATAAATTGCAAAAAACTTTAAAAAACAAACAAAAATACCCTTACTTCCTTGTTACTCCGATGCTCGCGAGGGGTATCTAAATACCCCAATCAAATTTCGACTCGTAGCTTACGCACCACGTGATCTCGACTGCAGCCAACTCTTAACACCAGCCTGCGTATACTACACTCGAGGAATAGACGAAACTATATGCCGATCGTCATTTCCCCCACTCCAGTATAGATAGAGATATTACTAGTGGGGTATTTGGATACCCCGCGCGAGTACTGGAAGGTTAATTTGTTTTTTCATATTTACATATCATCTAAAGCAAAATACCAATTATTATAAATCCAACTAACAAATAAAGAAAGGGGTACATACAGTATCCGCTTTGTCGTATCCGCTTTTTTCGAGATCACTATTTTGCAGTTCTCTGATTTTCTACCAAAACCATCGATGAATTCCTTCGTATTTGTGTGATCGAGAAAGTTGGTTAAACACAGGTCAGGTACCTTGAAAATCCATTCGTGGGGGTATTTAAGAGTTGAAGTTATAATCTTAAAAATCAATATTTCACGTACATTATTGTCATTGTCCTTGAAAGAGGCCATCGTAGTGGTCAAAACGTCGTACAATAAACAAAGTTCAAATACATATGTGATTTGGCCAGACAATGGAGATCTATGAACATGAAAAGTACAGGAGTTTCAGTAGTTAGATGCAGTTATCTATAAGAATTATCATTACACATTTTCCTAACAATCGCCATTCCTGAGATGTAGTGACTCAAAAAGTTGAAAAACTCTGCAATTGTCATTTCGAATTCAGCAATCTACGAGTATTTTTTTGTTACAGTTCGTGGTAGGCTTCTTCAGCTTTCTGGTCCTGCTCTGCTGCGAGGGGGCCACAGCAGGATTTAGGGCATCCTTGGTGCCTATCCATGCCTCATTTGGCCTAACGACGTTCATACTAGCCATAGCGGCTGCCCTCACCGGACTCACAGAAAAGGTTATGTTCACGCTTGGGTATGTACATCGAATTCTAGCAACTCGGTTACTATATTTGTTGAACTACTTCTACATACATGCAGTCATTTTGCACCTAGTGTTCACTAAAACAAAAATTCGATTAGTAATTTCGGATATACTCCAAGATAAAAGATTACAGAAAAATACAGAATGTACAAAAAGATACGAATTTGAAAATATATTTTGCATCGAGACATTTTTTTGAAAAGGATGATGTCATAGACCTGGAATTTCGACTCATCTCTGTCTTCTACATAGACGGTGTTCAAACTTCCCACCACGGATTTATCGAAAAACACTGATTAAAAGAAAAAACGCCGAGACAAGTTTAAAGTTTTGTTAAGGGGGACAACTTTTTAACCAAAAACTACTTCACCCTCTTTTACCCTCTGCCCCCCCCCCCTCCCAGGGTCATCCTCTTAGAAATGTTAAATGACAAGGAGTACCGAGTAACAGCTTGTTTGAAAGGTATTTCGAAGTCCTTTATTTTGACGTTTGATTTTTCAAAATCGGTCGATTCTTTTTCAAGAAAATTAGAAAAATCTGTATTAATCTTAATTTATTCAGAAACAAAAATGCACGAAAATGTCACTTTATTTCAATAAGAGTTTAAAAGGTTACCCGCTATTGACCGACATTTTCAAAAACACGTTGTGGGATATCATGGCAGCTTTCGATGATGCCTTGACGAAGTTTATCCAAACTTTAAGGTTGGAGAGTAAACACAATAGATTTCAAATGGCCCCAAAGAAATATTCGAATGGCGTCAAATCAGGTCATTCTATAGGCCCTCTTTGCCCTATCCATTTATCTGAAAATTCGTCGTCTAGCCATTGCCGAACCGGAAGAACGTAGTGAGGATGAGCGGCGTCTTGCTGGAAATATATTTCAGCCTCATCAAGTATAGCGTTTCCATCCTCTTCAATTTGGTGTTCAATGGTTTCAGTGATAAGCGGACTGAAGGTATTTTAAAACATATCCAAATAAATGTCTACGTTGAAATTTTCATTAATAAACAATGGCTAAATCACTTTGTTTCCTAGAATGCCTGCCGATACATTATCTTTTTGGGAATACTGGGTATGCCCTTCTACAAAAGCATGAGTGTTCTCATTGCTCCAATAACTGCAGTTATTCTTATTAGCAAATCCATTTAGATAAAATATGCGTTCACCACTGAGTGGTATTATCATTAATCGCGGCAGTCATTTGTTCACAAAACTCAACTCACCTAACGAAATCATCTTCGGTTAACTATAGTTTAATAACTGAACTGAACCTAATGAAATACCAGTCGCAGTAACAATTTTGCGTAATGAAGTATTAAGATTTATTCCTTCAACTTGAGCGGCTTCATCCAAAACTCTCCGATTATCATGTTTGCAACACATCCAGTTTGAGTAAATTTAGTAACAAGATCCGAAACATACCTGTGCGCGTTATCTTCTCCGGATGTCTGGCGTTAAACGTGCAGTTGTCGAGCACATTGCTTTTGGTACCATAAATTAGAATCATTTCCACTCTTTCGGTTAGTGTGTAAACCATTTTGGAAGTAAAATCTGAATCAAATTAATTTTTACTATCCCAAGATTGTCACAAAGGTAACTGACAGCAAATAAAATTATTTCTTTCCCTTAGCAACAAATAACTATAAATACAGTTCGCCTAGGATATCTGTGTTTATGAAAATAATGCGGAAAAAATTCGGGTTGTTATTTAGTTGTTGCGACGTCTAATCTTCCGAATTGCTGTTTATGTTGGTAGTTTCCGATTTAAATTACAAATGTATTGTAGATTTGGCAAACCCTGACGGGCAACACCTTGAACACTTATTGAAATATATTTGATATTTTCGTGCGTTTTTGTTTTCTATCTAAAGATTTTTATAATTTTCTCGAAAACGAGCGATTTACAAAAATCTAAAGTCAAAATAGAGAACTTTCAAACGTTCCTTTACTCGATACCCCTTGTCATTTAAAATTTTTAATTTTAATTAATTTTGGATCTCCAAGACATGATACACATGGCCTTAATCTAACTAACACTAAGAAGACACTGTATTAAGGACCTCAATTTCAAATAAAATTTTCTAATACCAAAGTTCCACTGTTGCAAGTTTTTTTATAAACTTTGTTATGTTAGGTACCTGATGCTATCGTCGATCATTATGAGCGGCATTCCATATTCCCTGGTTTCAACACTTCAACCTCCAAACATTAGCAACACAATACCCAAATTGTAAAACGAATTGTAATTGCAGGAAAATAGATTCAATTATCTCTATTACGAAACATTCACCAAAAATTTACGCACAATGACGATGCGACAACGCCCAAAAACGCCCAATCCCAATGCAGCATGTATGTGGAAACAGTTCGAAATTTGATGAATGTTAGGTGTATAATGACATGAAAATGAAACCAGCAGGAAGTCAAATTTATCATTTATTATATTTCTGTTATAGACATGTCAAAACAAATAATAAGGTATCATAAATATTATTTTCGATTAAGGCTTCTGTAAAATGAGCGTCCTTGCTAGTATTAGATTTTGGTACTGGTACTACAAAAAATAAAAAACAATTCTGGTGGTTTTTAAGTACTTTCTGTCAGTTTTACTATAGCTTCCATGAATAAATAGCATTATAACTATCTATTGCTTAGATCTAAATCAAATCGATATCTGAAATGTTGCAGGCCGAAACTGTTTTCATGCCAGTTTCTTTGATTTTTGTTTATTCTAAATTAAAAAATTAAACTTGTTGAATGATTTTAATGGATAATTTTGTAATACAAGCATACAGAGCAGTGTTAAAATTATAAAATACGATTAAAATACATACATCACGACAAAAAGTTCTAGTTTGAATATGCTTTTTGCAATGCGGTTTCAACGTTATCCTGCAGTTTCAGTTTTACGTCTTTTTGCATTAACTCTGGTCAATGATCTTCATTAAGTATATGCTATAAAGAAAATGCATTAAAAAATCGATGTAGGAAATGTATTTCAAAAGAATGTTAACTAAATCATAGCATCAACAAATATCTAAGCACATTGAAATAAAAACCAAAGTGTTCGACATTCTTAATTTATTCAAAACTTCTTTCTCAGAATACACTTTATCGTCACCTCTTTTCTCATAATACGTTTTCAAATTTTCTGATCTATTCCTATGAAGTATTGTTGACCAATGTTCTTTGTATGGAATTACCATAAGGCTGTATCGTCCATAGAATGACACAATGAGCATGGCTTTCATCTATTCGATCTGCATACGTTTTGCATACAAGAATTTATATCTTTTCTTTCAGAAGCGCGCTTGCATAAACACAAAAGTCAAGGCTCCTTGAACAGATGCATTAATATTCAATAACTCATTACCATCTTTCCTTTTCATTCTTTTCACAGAGAAAAAACATATTTACATTTATACGGTACACAATCCTTTCCCGGTTTTTCCGGGAGTTGAGACCAACTAAAATCAAAATATATCATCATTAAAGTCGAAAATGGAGACTGATCATATATTCCTGGTTCATAAAAACTGGATGAATGCTTGGCTGATGATATTATGAAACAAACGTCAAATTGAAATTTTTATTACGAGTATTCCACCTTATAGAGGGAAAAAAGTGGCAATGTTATGGTAGTTTTTATTTTGAAATACCATCTCAAATAAAGTCAGGAAAAAATAAAAACGATTTTGGGAAAATTCAGTTGCTTTCGCCTATCTCGGAATTGCGAAACACTTCCAAGCAGTAATGTATACGAACATCTTCCTATCTGTCAATCCTGAGACACACTCCCCAAAACCTTTTTCTACATACGCCAGTGTATCAGATAGCTCTAGAAACTACGTGACCTTGTTTCCAACGCATTGTAACAATTTGCAACTTCATGTTCAGAGATATTTGATTTTGAAGAGGTGAATTCACCACAAGTAATACGGATTAAAAGAGCTAGAGTAGTTTCTGCACTAATTTAGGAGTCCTAATAATTCTGCATGCTGGCAGAACCCAACAAGTTAATACTTCAAAGAATAAGTTGGCGATGTAATCAGAACTTTGCTTACACTACTTTTACCAGACTATTAAACTTGAAGTCCGACACTACTTTTAACGTGGACAGTTTCTGCATCATCTGTTGTACTGTTTGTTGAAAATATTTGAGCATCTGAATATGCATCATAATAAAGAGATTATAAACTTCCATTGGATGTAATAGAAATCAGTCAATATTATTGTTTTGATGTACAAAGGGGATTGAACGGCTGGTTATAACGCAAAAAACCGATATATCGACAAAAAAACCGATAAAATGTCAACTTATTAACTAGGCTAGTGTTTGAATAGTTCATTCCGCACTTGCAACAAGTAAGCATGAAGTGAACGACACCTAGTTCCAAGTTGACGTCTTTTAGGAAAACTTACATAAATCAAATCCAAGCGAATAACCAAAATTTCTGTGTTATGTACCGCGGTTATAATATAATTTAAGATAACACACTTCTTTTGAATTTGTTCTTGAAGTATCCTTGGAACGACCTTTAGATACGCTTATAGTGATTAATTGGCCTCCCATTCGGACTTAGAAATCAGAAAAACCTACAAGTATATTCAGATAAGAGATAGACCGGATGTAAACAAAAGGTTCGGGTGATTTTCACGCTAACGCCGCCGTCTCGACGTAAAACAGGAGCCCTCATTGGTCAATTCGCAATTAAATGCCTATGCCGAGCGACAGAGCAGTCGTATCAAGGCAGAGTCACATTCAGGTTCAGACGTGTTACGTATGTCGTGTGCATCATTGCAATTTGATATTTCTTTGGACGTTTTCGTTTGTTATCTTATTAAGTTGTTGAGTTTGTCGTTGTTATTGTTATACCTTGTTATTGATTGTTATTGTTATCAACTGCTTGCGCAAAATGCCCAGTAGTACAGATACTGCCGATGAAGTTGTAAACTCCTGTAGTCCACCTAGGAAACGCTCTAAAAAAA